CACATTATTATTGGCACTGCTATCCAAGTAATCGAGGTGGTTGATTGAGGTCGGAAAACGAAGCATATGTACAGTGTTATACAACCTAAGATAAGTCGATCGTCTGCGATCCGTGGTTCTGATCTGTCAGACTTCGACATATGATTTACTGCCTTTTGCTCCTGTGCCTGTGATGGAACATTGCTCCTGGACATATCATGCTATTTCATCCTAGAGAACCAGGCCCGAAGCCATAGCAGCGGCTTCCTACAAGCCATTTCCCACGGATTTTATAAATATAGTGCGTGCGAGCCATGCTTGTTGATTATCCGTTTGTAGCGCCTCTCTCACACGAGCCCTATCAGCAATGTCGACAAAGCTCATTTTCCTCATGGGTGCTCCAACGCAGCAGAACCTCTGCTGGGATGAGGAGGAGTTGCTCGACAGCCCCATATTTCCCTTCTCTGGTCCAGATGTTGAAGTACAAGTGAACCAGCCTGTCTCAAAATCTCATGCTGTTAAATGGAGATTGTTACAGGATCCGAAGGTCCAAGAGCAAGAACGAGGAAACGCTTGGCCCGAAGCAGGCAGACATGCTATATTCTTGAGAACCCAAGATCTCACGACCTTAAATGGCATATCATCAATTTCGCCAGATAACTCAGCAATCTCTCAATTCTACGACCATTCCTTTGCAGTACACGAGACGTCCGAGATTTCTGTACCTGGAGCGCATCTGGGAGACTCTATGCAGGAGAGTGGCTTATCGGCCGACAGTACAGGAACATCCGTTGCATCGTCCAGTGACAGAGAAGCGCCAGAATTGGGTTCCCTAGCGATTCAAGGGTGTCTCAGTGACCTGAAGGATATCCCCAGCGCCACATATCTACAATCGATTGTGCCTCAGACAATGACAGTGAACCTGATTGTCGGTATCATCGCCATTCATCCTCCACGCCGCATAGTGACTCGGCAGTGGAAAAGGGAGCTGGACCTTGTGGAAGTGGTGGTGGGCGACGAGACAAGAACAGGATTCGGAGTTACCTTCTGGTTGCCCTTGGGTGATGAAACAAATGCCAATGGCCGATGCGACATCGAGGCTCAGAAGCTTCGAACGTCTTTGTCTAGTCTGCGACCCCGAGACATTGTTCTCCTGCGCATGGTAGGATTGAGCTCATTCCGAGAACGGGTATATGGGCAGAGTGTGGGCAGGGGGGTAACAAAGGTCGACCTGTTGCATCGCCAGCGGATTGACGCAACGGACGCAGGAGGCATTTACAGTGCAAGGCGCCTGCAAACCTTCAGAGACGATGAAACCAAGCATGGTGATCTGCAATTGATGAAGGTGTGCAAAGTGCGGGAGTGGATTCGTCTGTTTGTGGACCCTGCACCGGATCTAGTAGGCGGTGGGCCTCGTACGTCCAGCAAACATGGCCAGCCTCTGCCTCCAGACACGCAGGAGTAATTGTCAATTCTCGATGAAGCTGAAGGACTGCAAGTGTTAAAGTTGTGATAATGCAAGGACGAGAACAGAGTCTCCAGCACAAGGTTGACAACAGGTAGTCAACTCAACGCTGGATAACGATATATATATCTTAGCTATGTTTCTCTGGGTTAAACAAACATTTTAACGGTAGTAATTGACTGATACGAAGCATGGCAGATGATCGATCGTGGTATCCAGTTAGGAAAAGATCCCCAAGGACCTGAAAGTAGCTTGAAATGAAGGAAGTATTCGCATGTAACCCAAGTGCATCAATATACATTGTTCAGGGGTGTCATATTGTCCAGGTGTCTTGCCCGATGCGGTTACCCCGATTATCGCAGTTCCTCATCCACATTGTACATCCAGACATAACGCAAATGCGATAAAAGTTGGAAACCTCATATAGATTCAGTTCAGAGTCATACTGTAGCTACTCATTATTCTTCATTACTAACATTGTTATTCAAACCCATATGGAACGGTCATTTGCATCCTGGATATGCAGGAAAGAATCCTATTAATATAAACCAAATAATATCAAGGGGCATTGGGGTTGCTCCACCTAGCACCTGATCCAGTGGTTCTGGGCCTTTCCTAAGATTATATCCCCCTTTAAACTCGCCCGTCTTAAGATGAGATACATCTCGAATCGAACCTACGGAGTACGGAGTAGAATACCTGATTTGCTACAGGCTGCAAGTGGCGTCCTGGCTGAAAACGTGCAACTGCCCGCCATGACCGTACCAGTTGTTCAAGGTAAGGTGGCATTGACTGATTCAGGTGGAATCGCCAATTAGCGGGTCAAAGTACGGAGCAAGTACCTTACTGTTCCATAACCCATTTCTTAGTGTGGTGGTCCCATAGACTGGGCTAACCATTGGAACCTGTCGTCGTACGCAGAACTGCTTTAGTGGTAGTGCCCCTGCTCATAATTGGGAACATCATGTTATGCTATCCTTAGTTAGTTGTTATTCTAGGTTATTATTAAGGAAGAAACAACGCCAGGTGTTCGTTCCTGTAACTTGAGCTTCTGCTTCTCGACTCTTTTCTATAATAGTATTATTTTCTTTCTCTATCTACACATCTTCTATCTTTTTGATCCGCCTTGCAACCTCAAGAATCGGCATTGAATCGGTTCTTAACTGTCGTCGACTTTGCTTCTGACATTCGTTGTTCGCGGGACCTCCTTTTTCCCTTTTTCTCTTTTCCCTCTCCGCAAGCCCCTCGTCCTCTCCTGACACTTGTCGCAAAGCCAAAACACATATACCTCTACCAGCTTCTAATATTTCTCTTTTGACCTATCTTCCTTACATTATCTAATCAATCATCACCATGAAGGGTACGAATTTCTCCATTTGCAATCAAGTGCCAATGCGTTCATTCTGATTAACCTTTCGATTGTAGCTCTCATTCTTGTTGGGGGGTTCGGTACCCGTCTGCGCCCTTTGGTGAGTGTCTCTCCCCCGCAGTTGAAGCTTGTGTCTGTCTGTTATTTTGAATTGATGCTAACATACTTGTCTTTCAATGCTAGACTCTGACTCTTCCCAAACCCCTGGTGGAATTTGGAAACCGCCCGATGATCCTTCACCAGGTCGAGAGCTTGGCTGCTGCTGGTGTCACAGATATTGTTCTGGCCGTCAACTACCGTCCGGATGTCATGGTCTCGGCCCTCAAGAAGGTACACCGATCTCTTCTCTTCCGTCAGCTTAAACACGTTCCTAATTTTGTGATTTTCGTCTGCAGTATGAGGAACAATACAACGTCAGAATCGAGTTCTCCGTCGAGTCCGAACCCCTCGGTACCGCTGGTCCCCTGAAGCTGGCAGAGAAGATTTTGGGCAAGGACGACTCTCCCTTCTTCGTCCTCAACTCCGATATCATCTGTGATTACCCCTTCCAGCAGCTCGCGGAGTTCCACAAGAAACATGGTGACGAGGGCACCATTGTTGTTACCAAGGTCGACGAGCCCTCGAAGTACGGTGTCGTTGTTCACAAGCCCAACCACCCCTCTCGCATTGATCGCTTCGTCGAAAAGCCCGTCGAGTTCGTTGGTAACCGCATTAACGCCGGTATCTACATCCTCAACCCCAGTGTTCTCAAGCGCATTGACCTGCGTCCCACCTCCATCGAACAGGAGACATTCCCCGCCATCTGCAGTGACGGTCAGCTCCACTCCTTTGATCTCGAAGGTTTCTGGATGGATGTAGGTCAGCCCAAAGATTTCCTGACGGGCACCTGCCTCTACCTCACCTCGCTCGCGAAGCGGAACTCCAAGCTACTGGCTCCCAACAGCGAGCCCTATGTCTATGGCGGCAACGTCATGGTTGATCCCTCGGCCAAGATCGGCAAGAACTGTCGCATTGGCCCCAATGTAGTCATTGGTCCCAATGTTGTGGTTGGCGATGGCGTGCGTCTGCAACGCTGTGTGCTCCTGGAGAACAGCAAGGTCAAGGACCATGCTTGGGTCAAGTCGACTATTGTCGGCTGGAACAGCTCTGTTGGCAAGTGGGCTCGTTTGGAGAATGTCACCGTCTTGGGTGACGATGTCACTATTGCGGACGAGGTGTACGTCAATGGTGGCTCTATTCTGCCCCACAAGAGCATCAAGCAGAACATCGATGGTATGTTTCCTCGCTCGCCTTTTACAAACGTTACGAATTGCGAAGACTAACGCATTGCACAGTTCCCGCCATTATCATGTGATCTTCTCCTCCTTCTAATGCCGACATGTCCTAATTTACCTCGATCTTCATTGATTCTACCTACCTCGCGATCACCCAGATGCATATAACCGGAGTCGTTGTTGTGGTTGTCATTTTCTTCGATTCTATTCCAGCGCGACTGAAGTGTGGCTCCTCGGTCGGCCGAGTCTGGTGCAAGTCTTTGGGTACAATAATTTACGCCTCGTCTCCACTCAGCTTTTCCTCGCACCAGGCACAGAACAGTGCAGCAACCTTCACGTCTTCCTTTGCTTCTTTCCTACCCCGTAGCTCAGCACTCCCATAGCCTTGACGGTGAAGGCGTGTCTCTGCGTCGGCATCTTCCTTTTTTGTTTCTGTTAGAGCCCTTTAGTCATCTTTCCCCTCGACTGACTTTTATCTTCATCGGTTTCTGCCAACCTGTCTTCTCTGGAGAACGGCGCCGTTCGACGATATAATCTTCACAGTTCGTCCAGCTCGAAGCTGTCCCTTGCTGTGTTTCTCTTCTTGTGGATTATGTGCTTTCCGTTCTCTCGCGTGCTCCGCTTGTGCTTTCTCGGGGGATGGTGGGCAAAAGGAATAATACTACACCTGATTTAATGATAAACGTGGACATGGGGTTTCTTGGAATGTAAATAGTGAAGGCAGATATAAAAGGTGATAACTGTTCCCGAAGTATGTGTTTATGGATACAGAGTAAAGCCCTTATCGACGACACCTGGTAGGTCTCAGAATAACCACGCTGAGAGGCGGGCATGTACAATTACACATTAAGCAAGCTATAGACCCGAAAAAGTACAAGAGGGCCCTTATGGAAACAGGGTGTTAGAACGCTGGTCAGGCCTGGGATCCAGCCTGGGCCTCAGCTTCGTCGAGAAGCCCGTCCCATTGAATCCTCAACTCCTCCATACGCTGCCAGCATTTCCTGCCCAGATCTTCATACTGCAGTCTCTCTTCCGCAGTGAGATCGGCCGCGCCCCTCTTCCGGCGACGACACCGGTCACCGTCCAGGACGGCCGGCCCAACCACACCACCATACCCCCACCCATCGACTTCGGTGCATACCGGCCGGTCCTGGCCGAGACGGTTACAGGAGGAGCCCCATTTCACTCGCCCGCCGCCGTTGCGCCGGTACGGCGCTTCGGCGTCGTCGAGGACGGCCTGAGCGGACAGGGCGAGCCAGACGGGGGCACAGGCGCCGGCGAAGGTGGAGATCGTGTGCCAGGGGGATCCGAGGAGGCGGGCTAGCCAGAATGCCGCGAGCATGGAGTAGAAGAGTGGCCAGGAGAGCGGGAGGATGCCTGTGCCGCAGATGCCGGGGTGGGTGAGGAACATGTTTGGGTGCGGGAGTTCTTGCTCTGCTTCTTTGTGGTGTTCTGGCTGCTCGTCGATCGAGTAGAAGCTCTTAACCCAGGGTGCTGTACTGGGGAGATCCGATGTCAGAGCCAGGATGTCGGTTAAAGCCTTTGAGGACTCGTAGGGGGCCAGGGTCCGGAGGCCCTGGATGTCGTCGTCGTCGAGGTGTTTCACCGTCGCCTCGAGACTGGAGACCCAGATGACGCGGCCGGGCCCGTGGAGCTGGTCAGAGTGTCGCAGCAGCGACATCACATTGTGTGCTAGCATGTAGTGGCCGAAGACGTTCGCGCAGAAGACCGCGCCCAGGCGCGGTTCCTTGTCGTCGCCCAGCGCGGTCTGGGGATCCGTCACCATTCCCGCGGGCGCGATCTTGAACGATGGCCAGGAGACTTCGTGCACCAGGTCTGTCATGACGCCCCAGATTGCCTTGGGCCAGTTGATGCCCGTCCATCCGCCCAGGCCGGCGTTCAGCACGATCGCATCGAGTTTGGGGAGGGTCTGGTTCAGTCGGCGGGAGAGGGCGCGGACGGAGACGAGGTTCGACAGGTCGACGTTCTCGGGCACAAAGGTGACTCGGGCTGATGCTGCGGCGGAAGCAGAGGCAGAGGCGCCGCGAAGGTGATCCTGTAGGCGAAGGAGAGTGTCATTTCCCTTCTTGGTGCTCCGCGTGGTGAAAATAACGGTCAGAGACTGGTCGGGATGTCGGTGAGATTTCAAGAATTCATCCACCAGTCGACAGCAGATTGAGAAACCAAGGCCACTGTAATGAGAGAATTGCAACCAAGGGAAGGAACAATACGTCAGGAAACGATGAATTATGGGTATGCGATGGTAAAGTCACCACCTTGGGGGAGGGAGGACGCGGAGAAATGAACAATACCTGTTGGCACCGGTTACCAAGACAAAGACCTTGTCTTGCAGGTCATTTGGGGTATCCCTGTCAGACATGTAGTCAGATCCTCCAGGCGCGAGTATCTGTGCGGTCGCGGCTTGTCAATTGAGTTGCTGTTGTTGTAGCCGATGTGATTATCAAAGCTGCCCCATTTCAAAGATAGACCGACAAAACTAGAAAATTGTTTATCGCTTTTCTCCCGCTCGACGACGTCATGTGATCGTGATCCATTGGGACTGTTTGGTATTCACCTTCACTTTTTGTTTCATACTCATCACTCAAATAATCGGAAATCGTAACTTCATACATCATTTTGCAAGTACCATTCATTAAAGTTGGTATACGAGCATAGCTGATGACTCTACACGGAGATGCATGTCTAAAAGCCCATAGCGCATCGCAAGCATGAGCTCGATAAAAGCACAAATCCAGCAAACTTCTGCACTGGCACCTGGCTATGCCTACTTTTGAGGGACGAATCGTGGTAGATGTAAGTCAGGTGGACAACTGCAAAGGCTTCCCGTCCCGTTGTGACATCCTATCCCCAGGGTGTCACGAGCAACTCGACGAAGGGTGTGCACCCATGGCGTTCGGTGCCAACTACCATTGATTCCATCGATTGGTTGAAAGACGAGCCTGTCGCTTGAGAACACCTCGACTCGATCCATCGAGGTAAGCATAAGTGAACAAAGTGACAGCGTCTGGACTCAGTTGAGGGACGCTTGATCTTGAGAGACCCCGGGAGACTCGTATTTGCCAGCCAGCCTCAATATAAGTAAGAACCAACCAGAAGTTGTTACGCAATCTTAACACACTGGGGTGTGCTCACGACATAATAACATCCATTAACCCTAATATGTGCGGGTAACACCTCAATCCATGGAGTCATCAAGGGGTTGAAGTGCTGCGTCGTCTCAATGATGTGTAGCGATAACAATCCCTGTTGTGCACCCGGTGAGTACAGTTGATATGCGACATTTTGCAAGTTTCGTCTCAATCAGGAATTCATTAGTTTGTTTCCCAGAATTTTCGACTCGTAAGTTATGAGATCATGTCTCATAAAACGAAGCGGATTGGAGGCAATTGGCTCACACGCAGAGTTGCATTGAAGCAATACAGTGTATGGAGCAGCCATCGAATGAAAGCGGATCGGCCGCCTCTTCCGAGGTCCCTATCAGGAAAATGCTTGTGAAGCCATGTTCGCTCAATCCGACCGTTCTGGTCCCTAATAGTGGGGTTTCTTGATAGGTTCCCTGTCGAGCGGCAAGACGGCGATGCGATGGACAACATTATAGTTAAGGTGACATCGCCTAGAACCTGCATGCATAAATTTAGAAATTTCCATCAATCGGTCAGCCGAAAGTGGTAGTGTCTTAGTTCAACGGGTAAATGGAATGATCTCCGGAGGGCAAGGGAACGAAAAATCTGTCGAGATCCCAGGGCGATGCGGCCGTTTTACCGGGGTGGGAAACTGTGCGACTTGGAGCAGGGAAGGTCGATATATGGTATGATATCATGTTCTGCATTTCTCTCGCACCAGAAAGTTCAAGCAATTGAAGGCGAATGATCATCAGGTTCCGGCCCAAATCGAGAAATATCCTCTCGCCAAGCCGTGACGGTACAACTACAATCAATGTCAAACCTTAGGATAAATGCGAACCCTCAAATCAACTGTTATGCTTACTTCGGATTGATTCTGGACTGTGATATCCAAGATTTCAGCCGAACCGTCCAGCGCAATCAAGGATTGTCATCAATCTCCAGTCTCCATTCAGCGTTCAGACGACATGGCCTCGGAAGTAAGTCCCGTGTTGCGGTTCAGGAGAGCGATTGAGTTGAGCAAATTTGGATGTGGCTGGACATGGCGATGTTAATGAAGAGAACCGGCGCGGAGACGACCAAGAAGGTACTTCTAGTGTGAGAGACGGGACGCCTAACCGCCTAGCCTGCTGGCGTAGTCTTCTCTAGCACAATTGAATTCGAATCGGACGGCAGCCATCCGTTTTCCGTTCGAAGTCTGTCATATAGAAAACCCCGTGTTCGCGAACTTACGAGCAAGTCCATGGGGAAGCTAGAGAGGATCAGGTGGTCCCTCTGGGATCCGACAGGTTGGAAGCGAAGCGTATCTGTACAACACAGCACAGCCGTATCCCGCGAGAATTCCTCGTCAGCATCAGGACCTTTGCTATGGACGCTCGGAGTACTCCGTACTTTTTCCAAAAATGAACTCTGAGTAGTGGTAGATACACTGCTGATACTTCAGTCCCCAACCATACATATGTACACGGCCTGACCTCCTCCTTTTGAGTTTTCGTTTTTCAACTGAGATCCAGCCACCAACAGGCAAGTAGTATGATGTTTATTGGACAAGAGACGCCAATACGGCAAGCGAATGGACAGCAGACACATTAACAACATGTGGCGCTGCTGATGTGACTAACTTGGCTGAAATATATTTTCAGCCTCAGTTCGCGTCTTGACTCGTGAAATCCTAAGGGCGCTTCCATACTGGTCCGCTCGCCAAAGTCGGAGGATTACCACCCCCGTTTTGACTGATATCTTCAAAGAACCTTGGAAGAATACTACAGTACTTGGAGTAGTACTTGCAAGTTAGACCAACCCTGCCTGCAAGGGGGGCAAGACGCCTTCGAATCGGCGGTTTCGCTAACTGGATAGGTTGCGTGCTCGCTTATCCAGACGCCTCACCGACACTTGGGAAAATGTTCCGAACGCAGATCATCAAAACAGCACCTGAAGTAGTAGTTTATCTCTATTATCAATTAATTAGAAAGGCTGGTGCAACTGTAACCCTGTACCTGTTTGGACGAAGAAGGTTGGATCCGTTGGAAGAAATTCAAGTCTCTTTCGCTTCGGCTCAGCTCCCAATTAACATCTCAGTGGCTGCTCTGAGCCTGTGATAGAGAACTGGAGAAGTTGCCCAACAGGAAAGGCCGAGCCGAGCCGGTCGTCTTTGTGTGACGGTGGCCTAGATAAATATAACATAATCCACTAGAGGCAGTGCATAAGTCTATAAGATCCATGCAAGTCGGAGATTTTCATACGCTGGCAAGGATGTCGAGTAGTGCGATGCACGGCTAGTGTAGCAATGCATGTTTCGCATCGTTGAGACAAAGAGGGGGAAGTGCTTCGTTAGTATCTTCCTTCGGCATCGTACTACTAGCGGATAATCCATGCATCCCAACATTAGACGGCCTGGGGAGACGCAGAGAAGCTGCTGTGTCCCAGGAATTTTGTGTGGCCATTCAGGACCTTTAATATTTAGCCACATCCTTATTGGAGGGCAGGGGAAGAGCAAGTGGCCAAATACAGTACATGCTCCGTACCCAACGGCCTGGTTTCTATCAATTGGCTGTCGACGCAAGGGGTCCGTAAGCCATTAAATGTCTCAATGCACGCTTGTGAAACAGGAGTACATACTAATATCTAGTTTCGCCTAGGACCAAAGCCCTTTAGTGCATTTCCATGGCAGAAAGTGGATGATCATGGAGGGTATCTTTGATTCTCGGTTCTCGGATCGACCTTTCAAGGACAAATTGACGGGAAGGGAGGACTTTGACGATTGTGGCTGCAGCGACAAGTCGTCCTGTACAGTTAAGTTGGTAGTGTGTGTCAAGCTAGAGATTGCAAAAATGCGGGGTATCGTTATACTTTCCTGTTTATTGCTTCGACGTTCAGCCCGCTTTCATATGAATGAAGATGGCCGACTGTTCCATAAGACGAGTGGCATAAGCGAAAGAACAGAGCTCCCGTTTGATCATAAAGTACCACTCTAGTTCTGACGGCCATTGGCCCAGACAGAACCATCGAACAGATGCATAAGAAACCTATCTTGCAACATGAAAATTCCGATCTCCATTGTTACTGCCGCATCGTCCAGACTAGATGAGGTAGTTGTGGAACGACATCTCTCTTTAGATCATCCGTGACGTAGACTGGTGAACCTCTTCCTCGGCATTTATTAAGCGAGCAATGACTCTCCCCATGTCCTTAGGCACTTATCAAGCCTCCTAATCGCGAAGCTATTTGCATTGGAACCAATCAGAAGCAGTCATGTTTCGAGTGGTCTTTTGCTCTTTCAGCCCCATGAAATCACGACGTAGAGATCAGCGCCCTACGTAGACTTGCAGCGTGAGCACGATGCATCCATGCCAATGCTTCCATCTCATTGACGGGTTCCGCGTCAGAGTTCGCAAACGATTTTAAGCGCAACGATTTGTAACACAGATAAGCTGTGGCACAGCACTATATCGCGCCACTTTAGAGTATTATGGGCTCTTAGTAGGATAGCTAGTGGTGGGTTTGGGTGGGGGACGGATGGGGGCTGCAAGTCAATCGGATTCCCAGAGGGAATTGAACGGCGCAATTTGTCTTGTGAGGATAAGGGAAAGGGGATAAACGTGCACTATCTACCCAAGAGTAGAGGCCAGTAAGCATCCTTCATTGAGGATAAGGCATGCTTGCATTTGTCGTGAGATTGTTCCTCGTTGAAGCCTCACACATGGTGTCTGAGAAGCTTGCAGTGAGCATACCCCAAACTGATGTTGACCTCCGACTAATCAGTGCCGCTTGGAAATAATTTCCATTAGTCTACGTTTTGAAACAAGGCAGGAGCATTAAGAAGAAAAAGAAAATATCCTCATCACGATAGCATGACCAGGGAGGGATCTACAGAGTACCTAACAAACGACATTTCGTACAACTTAACTAACTCTGTGGCTAGTTGTAAGGGATCACTTTTCACTTCCCGAATATCCAGACACTGAGCAAATTGACTGCAACTACACCAGAGTCAATTCAAAATTCGTAAGTACGCATTAGATACGCAGTACGCGTGGAATAAAGTAGTAGAAATTCTATTCGACTGGCGGTGGTGATCTGTCACTTTTCAACCTCCAAGGGTTGCCTCGTCATCCTTTGTACCCCGATACAGAGAGACCTCGTACATTGAATTTGGATAAAGTTGGGATCAACATTGGAAGACTGCTGGGTAAGCACAGGAAGGGTGAACTTTCCGCTGATGAAGGTGAGATGTATC